GTGAGTCTCTTATTTTCTATTAACTACCAACAAGCCATCACTAAGGGCTGTGTGGTTCAAGTGATAGAGAACTAGCCTTGAGCACAAAAACTAAGGAACAGCACTCAGGCCCTGAGTTCAAGACCCAGGACTGGCCCAAAAATAAAAGGAAAAGATAAAATGTAGTATCAGATTCTGTTTATTGAATAAGTGCTTATGTAACTAAGATTATGCTTAAAGTGAATAGATGCTTTGTACTAGAAAGGCTATACATTTCATGGATAGAAAAACTTATCTGATCTATAGGCTTAAAATACTGGCCTGGCCTACAACATGATTTTAAAACAATAAAGTAAGTCCACAGGTATAGTTTAATAGTAGAACATTTGCCTAGTCTAAATGAAGTCTTGGGTTCACTTTAGAGCAATGTAAACAACAAAATAATAGAAATACAAATTGTTAAAGATAATATAAAAATAAATGTAACAAAACTTGAGTCCCTTTTGAAAACTCACATATCAAGCACACAGGCACTAATTATTAATGTGGAAACACCATATTTTTAATTTTTTTCTTGCATAAGCTATATTCTAATTTTAATTTGGGAAGTAGTTACATAAACATTTAGCTTGATTATATTAAAAAAGTTCATTGAGCAATATGAAACAGCTGAGGGTGAACAGGACATTTGCATATAAAATGAAATCATTGCATTGATAACCATTTCAAAGTGTAGTTTTAAAAAAATATTGATAGTGTACCCTGTATCAAGAAATAAATGAAGAGACATCTAATGTTTCTAAGATAATACAGAAAAGTAAACATATTTATAGAAATATTTTTATTTCTTATTTTAGGCTGGACTTATAAAAGTCACCAATTTCATTGTATATAAAGTGCCTTTACTCTGTCATTTTAAAGGTCTGTATGTATGTAGATATTCAAGAGGAAGCAAATTTAATGGCAGTAAATCTAGTAGATGAAGGAGGAGATTAAGGAGTCCCCAGTTAAACGCCATCTAGGATGTGAAAATCTCCAACTAATCATTCAGTGCACATGGTACGGCATGCTTGTATCTTCCACATACAGGAAAGCAAAGCCAGCCACAGTGACATGAGCCTGTCATCTCCGTGAGAGGGGCAACACAAGTAGGATCACAGCCAGGCCAGCCTGAACAATAAGGTAATACTTTTCCTCCAAATAACTACAGTGAAAAGGGACTGAAATTGTTGCTATAGCACAGACAACCTGCCTGTCAAACACAAGACACTGAGTTCCATTTTTCACTACTACTAGACAAAAGGGAAAAAGGAAAGGAAATATTGTTTATTTATGGTCATTTCTCATGAGAACAATTTTCATGAGAGAGGTGTATGTAATAAACACGATAGAGGAGAAAGACAAGAATGTATGCATGCTCATTTCTTCATACATTCTGTCCTCAAACATCATCTTCCTGTTCACACTGACAGAGCATCACAAGAGCATTACTCTTTATTGAGGCCTCAGAGATCCATCAAAGTGTTTATTTTTCTCCCTTAGTAAGATATACACTAGACTACCTAAGGAAAGTTATTAAATAGATTAAAGCACTAGAAAACAAAAACCTGCAAAAAGAATAGTTGTTTATAAATATAAAAAAGAATTTGGAGAACAAAGGAGTCCATAACAAAAATGCCATAGAAAGGATGGGGTTAGATGAAAATATTGAGTGAAGGAAACTATTTGCTGTTCATAACATCATTTATGTCAAACACGTTTCCTTTAGCAGAAAGCATGAATCTCATGTGAGCCTCAAACTTAGGAAGGGTTTATAATACTTGTGGACAAGAAAATGTGAATCAGCAAAATAGTGGAATATATTTCAAATAAAAGGAAGGCTTACTAAAATAAAATCTAGTATTTTTTGGAGAAAATCATGCCTAAAAGTAACAATTAAGCCTATGATGTGTACAGTCAATAAAATATAATGATAAAGATAAACGACATTAACTTCTTAAAATATCCTTCTTAAAAAAAGTTCTTACATGAGTTGAAGGGGGCAAATGGAGAAGGATGGAAGAGTTGAAATTGATGAAGATGCACAGTACTCATAAACTGACATGGTGAATTGAAACTCTTTTGTACAACTACTTTAAAAGAAATATTCAAAACCCACAAAATTTCTTATAAAGTTCTCCCAGTAAGTACTAGACTTGCCATAAATGTTTGTGCCAAGAGTGCCCTGCCCAAGAGCATTTGGACTAAAGGAAACCGTAGAGTATATTGAAATATACAATAGATATATTGAATATATAGAGATATATTGAAATATACAATAGATATCACGATGTCAAATTACAGACAGGTTTAGATAAGCGCAGAAACATACTCAAGATTATAAATCTTCAATGGTGACACAAGGCCAAAGGGGGAACCAATGTAACAGCAATATATATAAGGCAATAGGTTGGAAATGATCTGTACCACTTGAAGGGTGTGGGGGGGAGGGAACACGGGAGAAAAATGAGGCAAGGGGTATTAAGTTTGACAAGAAATGAACTTATTACCTTACTTATGCAACTGTAATCCCTCTGAACCTCACCTTGACAATAAAAAAATAGGACAGGACTATGACTGTCTAGGCTTGCAGGCCACAAGTGTGTCTGGGATTTATTATTTTCACAAAATGTAGTAACAAACATTGATTATATAGGTATCATGCATGCATAGTAGTTTCTACAGAAGTAGACAGGGAAAATGCTATCCAATTAATTTGGCGAAATGAGAAACACAATGACTAAGAATTATATGTCAATGACTATCAGAGTGTAATAGACCAACTTTATGATCAAGAAAAGTAAAGGCAGGACTAAAGAGACGTTCAGTTAGAAGGCAAAACCTAAAAGCAAGAAGCTGTCATTGGAAAATAGTATAGTAATCTATGCAAAATTACTACAGAAGATAGTACTCATACTGGGTATGAGAAAAAACGAAATAAGTTCATTTTTGAGAGGAATTTTAACTCTGTAAACAACCTGAATTCTACTCTGAGGGTGGAGGTGTGTCGCAGTGGTTACTACATTTCTGTTAACTTTGGTTCCTAGAGGACTGGAACACGTATACCACATAGAGACATTGGATGAGAATAAGATTTTGGGACATATAAGCAAAGAGAGGAAATGAGGAGCAGAAATAGGTAAAATCTACATACTTAAAACAGGTGGCCTTTCAGATTGCAAATGGAAGTTATCTAAAAATATTCAGAAAGTGTAACTGTTGAAGAGAATTTAAAAACACAGGTAAAATTCTGATTCTATCTTTGAAAATATATCTATAACAGAAAGAAATAAAAGACAACTACAGAAAAAAATTGAAATTTGAAAATAGCAATTTGGCCTTAAGTATTTGATCAAACCATGTAGTATTAGAGCTGATGAAACAGTATGAGGAACAAAAGTCAAGAATGCTCTAAGATACTCCAAACTTCAAAAAATAATTAAGTGTGAAATGAGTTGAGAAAACAAACTGAGGGGAATTTCCTGATTAGCTGATTTTTTTTTTTAACTTTTATTCTTTTGATCTTGTCTATAAAGAAAAATTGTAAAGAAATTAGGACTGGCAGAACAAATACGTTTGATAAGGGTTTTGGGTTTACCCAAGAACTGTAGTATATTAGATGATAATTTGAGACAAGCTTTTGGAATGGTCCATGGTAGTTTGCTGTTCAGTGACTACTGAACACATAAGCAAGAAAAGTGGTTATTGGATGCCAGATATTTTAACTAGGAAAGACTTTTATTTTTCTGAGATGACTAGAAATATGCAAGTCAGGTGTAGTGATTCAAGCCTATTATTATCCTAGCTATTTGCTTTTTTAATTGTGAAAATACTGTACAGAGGGCTATTTGTGAAGTGGAGATTATGGTATCAGGATTCAAGCCCATATAAAAAATTAATGTATGAGATTCCACTTCAACAAATGGCTGTTATACTCAGTGTTATGCCCAGTGACACAAGGAAGAGGAAGGATATGCAGAGAGGATCAGTATCCCATACAGAAGGAACATACAATATAACTATTTAAGAAATAACCAATGACAAAAGGGGTCGGAATTGTGGCACATAATAGATGGCCAGCCTAGCCAGCACAAGGCTCTGAGTTCAAATCATTGTACTGACCCCCCCAAAATAATTGATAGTGTATCTTAATTTGAATAATAGAAGACCTTTTCTGTAACTTTTGTGAATCAGATATAAATTGAATAGTTTTATAATAAAACATCTAAGTTGATTGATAAAAGTTGGTAAATCTTTCTCTAGGCAATCTGTCTTTCTACTTATCCAACTGGAAATGATTTAGTTAAGGAAGTAGAACACATCTCTTGATAAGCTACACCTAACATAAAGCTGTCTTCAAAAAATACCTTGTTTTAAGACTCACCCAGATAATATACTACCCAGCAAGGAACAAGGCAAAGACCTACAATTAAACTTCAAAAGGCCTTTTACAGTAACAAAGAATAGGTAAATTTAACAGTGGTTCATTTGAAGAAGATAAAAAATTCTTTATATAATCTACAAGCTTTAATGATTTTAGGAAAAGATCTCTTATTATTTTTCTATTTGCTAAAGCATTCATATTCTTCAAGTATATTAAATTAACTATTGAAACATTTTGTATATACTTTTGAGTCCTTCAAAGAAAAATATATGTAGACTGTTATTTAGTTTAGACAAGAAATAATTGTACACTATAAGCAGGAAAACACTGTAAATAGTGTTTTTTTTCCCATGGATATTGTGCTGCATAATTTAATACATTTCATGCTGAAGGATTTCAGAGGGTTCAAAGACTGCCACTTTAATATTTGTTGCTATAACAGAAGCATAAGCTAATTTCAGAGATTTATAAGTAATTCAGAGTAGTTTATACGAAGTAATATCTTTGATATAGGAAAATATATTCTGTTATCCATGCAAAATAAGATCTTTACAAAAGATCACAAATGGGAAACAAAAACAATAATTAAATTGCTCACCTGCCGAATACCCAACCGATAAGCAACAATCCGGTCTACCGCATCAGGATTCATTTGTGTCCACTGCAGACTGTAGGAATACACACGATGTCTGTTCTGCCACACTGGATTGTACGTGTCATAATAAAATTCTGGAGCATAGGCCTTTCCTGAAAGCAGAAGTGTGCTTATGTGTGAATGATGGCCCATTAGACTTTAAATACACTTGTTATTCCCTTTGGACCTGCTATCACTTTCTACACTAGAGTCATAAGAGATGATTCTATTTGAAAACTCACACTACTAAAATGTAATCAATTTCCAAGCTTGTCTTCAGAATAGACATAAGGCTGGATATATATATACATATATATATATATATATATATATATATATATGTAGAGAGAGAGAGAGAGAGGAGAGAGAGAGAGGAGGGAAAGAGAGACAGAGGGAGGGAGGGCAGAATGGAGGCAGGGAAGAAGGGGGGAGGGAGAAAGGGAGAGAGAGAGAGGAATCAAGGATGACCCCCAAGGTCTTAAGCCTCAGCAAATCCAGGAATCAAATTTATATCAAATCAGATTGAAAGCTATGAGAGGATGGAACTTTGGAGAAGTTGGGGGAACAATTTTTGGATACTTTGATAGAAGTGGTGATATCAAGTAGGTTATAATTCTCCTGTTGAGGTAAGCATGACAGGAGTTATAACCTTGTTAAATCTCAAGCCATGTATTTTGGCCTGAGATGAGCATTAAGGTACCTTTTAATCTTAAATCTGCGTGGGGTGAGAATATTTTTTGTCTGTTATTAGGTTTGATGTGACATTTTAAATAATTTTAGATTAAACACTACTTAAAAATCATTTATTAATTATCTAATCATCTTGTGAAAACATTCACATACATTGCAAATATAACATATATTGCAAATATATTGCACATATATTGCAAAGAACATTTCATTAAATTTAGTATGCATAAGTATAAATGAAGCTTGGGCATTGAGGTATGCTAGAAACACCTGAGGTTATTCTGATGCACAGGAATGCAGAATATATATTTCAGCACAAATAGCTGCAATTTCTTTCCTGATATCATCTCTGTATACAAAAGACATCAAAGCTAACTCTAGAGTCACAGAAATATCTCTTTGTAATTTTTCTCTGCTGAGACTTTCAGCATGTGGTCTTATTCGATAGCCAAGATCTCTAGGGCAAGGATAGAAAATGGGGTGGGTAAAGGTGTTAAGATAATGAGAAATAATATTTTGAGAATTTCCATGGGTAGATATCCTACTACGTGGACCTTTAGTTGATTGCTTAGGGGAAATTGGCTGAATGCATATTACCATACATAAAGTTTCTTTATTTAATTAAATACTTCTAAGGTTATTAAAATAGTTTAATTCTTAAGTTGAAAATGATTCTCCTCATCTTCGTTAATGATAGAAATTTATCAATGCCTTGGAAGGTCTGAAAATTAAAGCTTTAATTGAGTCCCCACTTAAATATTCTAAATCAATCACATTTAATGATACATTTTAATGATCACATTTAACTATAAAAGTTATAATAATCACAATACATTTAATTGCAGACTACTACAAAGCTTTCAATTGTTCATTTTTTGTGTGTGTGCCAGTCCTGGAGGCTTGAACTCAGGGCCTGGGCACAATCCCTGAGCTTCTTTCTCTCAAAGGTGGTGCTCCACCACTTGAAGCACAGCTCCACTTATGACTTTTTGGCAGTTTATTCAAGATAAGGGTCCCAGGAACTTTCCTGCCCCAATGGCTTCAAGCTGAATTCCTCAGATCTCAATCTCTTGAGTAGCTAGGATTATAGTTGTGCGCCGCAGGCACGCAACTCAAATGCATTTTTAAAAACACTACATTTTGTCTGTGCTTGGTGATATATGTAACAATGTTTTCTGAACTATAAAGCCAGGATTGTTTTTTAGAGGCTAATTGGATGTCTGCAAGTAAAGAATTTAGAGACAGAATGAGAATGTCAATGCCACATGAAAGATGATTTAAGTAATCAAGCACAATAAGATCCATTATAAATTTTAATTCAAAAATTATTTTTAAATGGAGTTGAATTTTAGTTAAATAAAGACACTTGAAATGTACTCATTACCTTGCTCATGTAATTGTAACCCCTCTGTATAGTATTATCACAATAAAAAAAGACACTTGCTTAGAAATTAGGTCTAATAGAAGATAGTCTCAATTAGTAACAAATTCTGATCACCAATAATTCTTTGTGGCTATGATTATAAATGTGCTTATTTATGTTTCAGAGCAAATATGTGTTACATATTTCCCTTGAAAAATATATAAAGGGAAAATAACTTTTGGATTTTATTAACAAGAATCTTCAAATTCTTAAAATCACACAATTTCAGTCAACCTTACTTAATGTTAATACATACTCTTCTATAAGAAGGACATAGAAGCTGTACAAGGCTACAAGCAAGTAGTTTCCAATAATATTTGGCTCTGACAACCACACATGACACCTGCTGGCTGAATGGAGAAAGAATTCATAACATTTTCCCTTTTTATTCTTCAATTTTTCATTTTTTTCTTCGATTTCTAGCAAGAACACTAAAATTATTTCCTTACTCCATTATTTTCTAATTTTATTTTTATATAATATTTCTCCAGTTTAAATATTTTAGGATGAACTGACCTAGAACTGGTTTCCCTATGTAAACTGGGAGATTAAATTTAGTAACTTTATGCATGAGTATATACAAAAAGATCTTTAATTTTAAAATATTCTTTTTTTTTTTTTTTTTTGTCGGTCGTGGGGCTTGAACTCTGGGCCTGGGCGCTGTCCCTCAGCTCTTCAGCTCAAGGCGAGCGCTCTACCACTTGAGCTACAGCGCCACTTCCGGTTTTCTGGTGGTTTATTGGAGATAAGAGTCTCAGGGTCTCTCCTGCCCGGGCTGGCTTTGAACCGCGATCCTCAGATCTCAGCCTCCTGAGTAGCTAGGATTACAGGCGTGAGCCACCAGCGCCCGGCTTAAAATATTCTTAAAATGTACATACAGATAGAAACAACTGTGATGTTCACAGTACTACATAGAATTTTTATAACAGTACAAGCATTGTTTTGCAAAAAGCTTTAAAAATGACCAAGATTTGAAAATAAAATTTTAACTATAAAGCTAAATTACACTTTAATAATGACTGATGTTAACAACATTTAAAATTTCTTTGCTACATTAATTGAACTTAGGAGTATGATATTTTGTAATTAAGCAAAAGAAAGATCGAATATTGGTCATATCCAAATATGCTATGCTTTGAAAGCAATTAATGTGGGAAAATAGGCTGTAGAAAAAATAGTAAAATAGCTAGATTTAATTTAGAAAAATATTTATAAGCTATGTTACCATAGATAAGTAATACCTGTATGAATATATGTGTATATATGTATATAATTATTTCATTGGGTAGATATTAAGTAGTTAATAATGTGACTTTCTTTTTTATTTTATTTTAATTTTGTTGTCAAGGTGATGTACAGAGGGTTTACAGTTACATAAGTAAGGTAGTGAGTGCATTTCTTGTCGAACTTGTTACCCCTTTCTCACTTTTCTTCCTCGCTCCTTCACTACCCCATGCAAGTTGTACAGATCACTTCAACATAGTGTCTTGTGATTGTCACTATTGCACTGGTTGCCCCTTTGTCCTTTGTCTCACCATTTTTTATTCCCCATCCCTTCCCTAATTCAGATAAAGATATATACAATACCCAGGGTACCAAATTCAAATAGAGTGACAACAGGGGATAAAACCACAGGGGAGAAAAACACAAAAGAAAAGAGATATGCCATAGTATTTAAGGATTGACAACATGCAGAGAAAATCAATCCATTTAATATCAGGCTGCCTAATATAGAAAAGAGAAACTCTCAAAAACAACTAACTCTGCCCAGTGCTGGTGGCTCACATGCCTGTAACCCTAGCTACTCAAGAGACTGAGTTCTGAGAATTGCAGTTCAGAGTCATCCAGGGGAAGAAAGTCTGTGAGATTCATCTCCAATTAACCATCAGAAAATGGGAAGTAGAACTGTGGTTTAAATTGGTAGAGTACTAGCCTTGACTGAAAAAGCTTAGGCACAGAGCCCAGGCCTTGAGTTCAAGACCCGTAACCTATAAAAACAAACAAAAACCCCAAACTGATACACTTATTGGTATAAACAAAAGACAGTAACAAATCTAACATTTTGACCTAAGAGTACATAGATTGTGAACATGAAAAGAAATTGCTCATGCATTAAAAATGAGATCAAAAAACTGGTCCCAGCTCCCTGTGAGCTGGATATAGGACCAGAGAATGAAGGTTAATATGGTAATGCAAAATAAGCATTTGAAAATAAGGCTACTACATATGATCAAAATCAGTAAAACAGCAACAATAACAACAACAATAAGAAAAACAACTCAAAACAAAACAAAACAAAAACTAACTTGTAGGATTTTAGAAAGAGCAGTGGGTGCAGGTGGCTCATGCTATAATCCTAGCTACTCAGGAAACAGATCTGAGGCTTGTGGTTGAAAGACAGCTGCAGGAAAGTCTGTGAGACTCTTATCTCCAATTAACCACCAGAAAACTCAAAGTGGCGCTGCAGCTCAAGTGGTAGAGTGCTCACCTTGACCTGAAGAGCTGAGGGACAGCACTCAGGCCCAGAGTTCAAGCCACACAACCTACTAAAAAAAGGCCAAAAACCAAAAACCCAGCCAACCAAACAAACAAACAAAAAAAAAAAAACAAAGAAAGAGAATGCCTCTCAAGTGTGAGAAGATAAGAATAATTACAATAGCATAGATCATGATTCTTGTCCAGTGATATTGAGGAAATTCTTGAGGAAAGATTAACACATGTTTATCTTGAAAGATATGTCTTCAGTCTAGGGTAGTAAATTTCTCTGAATCAAATTCTCATCAATTTCAAAATCCAGTATCTCACACACATTCACACATTCACACACACACACACACACACACACACACACACACACACACACACACACACAAATATTTCACTGTGTATGACCAAGAAATGTAATGAACAGTATTATTAGACCTCAAATAGTAGAAATATAAAGGAAATTTTACATTAGATATATTAGAAATAATTGGTGCTATACAATAGAGGATTATG